CCTGCACTATGTCTGATCTATGAGATCCAAAAGACCTTGGATGGAGACATTGAGAGCTGGGGGCTTCTCTTCCTCCCTTGCAAAGCTGTAATGAGGAATTATTTAACAATGTTGCCACCAAGCTCGACGTATCCTGCACAGCAGGGTGAAGCTGATGATAAGCACTGGCTCTGTCACCGTGGAGACAGAGCAATCCTCAAAGCCAAGTGACACAGGAAGAGAGAGATCACTGAATCAGACAGATTGAAGGAGGAATTCAGAGCCATTTTTTCAAGTGCCCCCATCAAACAACCTAAGTACTGGTATTTTCTCTTTTTAGCTAACAATGACCTCTGTCTTCCCTTCTGCATTTTGTTCTATTTCACAATGAAAACCAGCAAAAAGGTTTAACTTCCCAGTTCTCATTTTTCTGCTCAAGCAGTTCTACTTGGAAACTGTAGGCAAAAGGAATTCATGTATTTTTCAAGCAATGCAGAGTTGCTGATGAAGTCTGAAATAAAATTCCAGGCCATTTCTACATATGGATAGTTGTAGACTCTTTGAAAGAAGAAACTCCTTTCTTGATGTATACTTACCCCTGTTTTCATCAGTGTCCTTTAAGTTACAGTGTTCCTCACCTAAAAAAAAAACATAAATCTGCAAATTAGCGAAGGACAATGGCTTGTCTACCTTTTACTTCGATTTTTGTGCCTAAATGAAGCACAAAAGACTTTATATAATATATTCTGCTGTATGGTATTTGTTTCTACTTTACAGACTCAGGAACACTACATCTCTTTATTCTTTTATGTCTCTCTTGACTGTATTTCTTGGAAAAGGGCATTGGAGTTGTTGCTGAGAATTTGATAGGTTTTGTGTTTAAAATGGACACATTTTCACAAAATTTCATCAGTCCAAAGGTATCTAAGCAGCTGAAATTAAATATATGTTCTCTTCTTCAATAGGCATCACTTTTGATACCTTCATAGACATATTTTTACTAGTTTTCCATTTTTCAGAGAAATGTAGACCAGAAATAACAGGCATTTAAAAATTACAAACATGTCAATAAATCAACCTTTTTATAAAAAGAAACAACTGATTCCATTTTTCCAAGTACTACAGGTGTCCCAAAATGACCAAATCCAGTGAAGCTTTTCCTTTGCAAGTCATTTTTAAAGCACAAATTACCTTGTTACAACTGGAAGTATCATCATCATCATGACTACTTTGAAATCATAAAGCAGGTGACATGATCTACTGTGTTTGTTCTTGCTGTGCCTGCTTGGCATAAGCTTCCTAAAAGCCTCAGGAATTGCTCTGGGGATGAATTTGGCCTGCAGGGGTCTTCCATTTACTTTGATTTACTGTGGTCATTCAAAGCGTATTCTCATTTGAATGGTCAGGGATTTACACACATAGCTTCCATTAACACTAAAGGGTGATACCATTAAGATAAATGTACAGTTAATCTCTGGCACTGTGGAGATAAAAATATACCTCAGAGAGTGCACTGGCTGGGCTGGAAATGTTCATTACCTGAGTTTCATTTCACATAATGAAACAACTTTAAACAGCAGCTTTATAATTTTACCACCCCAAATCCTGTATTTCTTAGGAGGAAGGAGAGAAGAGAAAAGGGGGAGATATACACAGGAGAGATGGATGAAAATGAGATTGCTTTCTTTGAGCCCCAGCATGCAGACAGTGTTTCACTTGGATAGCAGGGAGGATAAAATGATTTTTGATCTCTTCCCCAGATCACTCTCATGGCCGTATTGCCTATGAACACCATGGCACTTGCTGCTTTTATTTTAGTAGTGTCACTGTAACCCTTGGAGAGGGAGCTTCCTAATATTTCCCCCAAATTCGTGTCAACTGGTAGAATTATGTGGAATAAGAGATGACCATAGAAGAACTTACAATAGACAAAAGAGTAGGGTCAGATGGCAGCCCAAATCTCAAGAGGCAGGAAGCATCTTTTCATTGATTTTCGTCTACCTATAGTCCAGCAGGATTTAACATCAGTGGTGTTGCGTACTGTGTTGGTTTTTTTTTTTTAGTTGTTTTTGTTTTTTTTTTCCCCAAGAAAATATCTAAATAAAGAAACAATAACATGGAATTTCCCCAGAAAAGCTCTGGTGAATCATCCAGGAGGTTCAGATGAAGATCACATTAAAACCAGTAACAGAGGAGTGAAGGCTGTCATTCCAGGGATATTCAGCCTAATAGCTTGGTTCTTATTTCCTAAGCTTTGGGTGCAAGAATTGAGTGCCAGTCCCTTCCAAAAGGGCATCTGACAGTGACAAATTCTATGCCAGTCTTTGTTTCATCCTGACAAGTCCCTCTTGAGGGTACAAACTGAGTGGTTTGTGGAAATAAAACACTGGCTCATATACTAAGATATCTTTCTCTCAGATGTCTTTGTCACCAGCTCAAACGACTCATTTTGCCATTGGGAATGTAAAAACATTTGAAAAGCACATCTGTAATCTAACCCTATTCACCCAGTGCCCTCATGGTGCTCAAAACTCCCAGCACCTTGGGCTGTGACCACTGGGTAGTTAATTCACCACTAGCAAATGAAAGTGTGGCCAGCCTCATCCAGCAAATCATGGGCAGGGAGACATAGAGAGCCCAAAGGACTGTCTCACAGGTCTTCTCTCCAAGTCTTAAAGTGGCCCCCTGCATGGTGCAGTCCCTTTCCATGTTCTCCTAACTCAACATTATTTCTGATCTGTGGACCACCCTGCTGCAGAACACCCATAGCATGGCTAGATACCCCAAAGAATCAGTTAGGTTGTTAGACCATATCAAGCAACAAGAAACAGGTAGTGCATGGAATAGTGACTCAATCCCTGATCTTGAGCAAGAAACTATCATTTTTTACCTTTTGCTTTCCCCCTCACACTTTCTCTGCATCTCTTTGATAGCCAATATAATTCATTGAAACTAAACCAGAGGAAAACAACTTGTACATGTCTACACTAGGGTCTGGCACTTATATTTTTCTTGGTTGCTTTAGTGAAGCCATTTATATAGTAAAAGCCCAGAGACACCCTGATTCTGTCTGTGACTTTATTATTATATTGGACACTATGACACATTTTAAGCGGTTCCCTGTCTTCAGCCGTAACTGAATATTACATTTAGATAGCCCATTAGGTTCTCTCGCTATGGCAATATGGATTCTATATTTCAAACACCACTAAACAGTTTTCCATTCCTGTGGGTGAATCCAGGTTTGTAAATTTTGCTTTGCTGCACAATGTTATTCAACAGCCTGACCCAGTAAAACTCCTACAGATCTCACAAGACCCCTGGCAAAATGCAGAAGAGAAGATAGTCTGTGTAAACAGCAATTGCAAGCAATGAGGAAGAAGAAGCCGGGGGGATGAATGTGGTTCTCATTTAATTGCTTTTAAAGCTTTTTGCCATCTTTTTCTCATTTGCCCCCCCCCCCCCCCGCCCAAGACCAGAATATCTTGCAAGTAACAGAATCCGTTCTGATTAGAAGGTTTTGTTACAGCTGTAATAAGCTTTCACACAGAGGAAGTCCCCCGAGACCTATATTTCATCTCAACTTTCCCCACCGCATTAAACAGAGGGATTGATTCTGGAAAACAGAGATTGAAATTCTCTGTTCCTGCACTCAACACTGAGAAGTAATGAGAATTGACAATTCCAAGGCTCAATGTGAAACTAGCATGATCTGGACTGAAACTGCTTGTGTGATAACAGGTTTTGGGAATGTTTCCACTTTCATCTGTTTATTTATTATTCTTATTAATTATTCTTAGGCTTGTGATTTGGGGGAGAGAGGTTGGGAGGAGGAAGACAGGATAAAAAAAGGGAGTCAGTAGCTTGGCAGCACACAGTCTAAATCTAAACACCACACACACTCGCTATACCCTGGAAAAACCTGGATCTTATACAACAATTTCTGTAACAGCATCACTTGGATAAACCAGCAACTTGGAAGGAATCTTTGCTTTCCTAGAATTCATGTAACTAAGAGATAAAATGACCTTGAGGGATGGCAGCTTTCCTTGTAAAATACATTAACTCTTTCAGAGCAAGCCTTGATGAAGATCCTCTATCAAATCAGGGAGGACAGAAGGGTCTGGTTAAAGCCTGACAATAGGTCTTGTTGCACTTACATCACCAGGTTTCACATCCCACCTCAGTTCTGATGATTTAGTAGGGAGACTTTAAAAATCTCCGGTCAGCATCATCTGTGAGTGCTGACAAACTTAATGCAAACAGCTTACTTGACCCATTTTTACTCATCCCCATTCAAATGACCTCAGAGCTGATGACTTTGACCCTCTTCATTGTCCTTTAAAATAAACTGGCAGCCAGGTTAGCACAAGGTCTCTCTCAAAGTGCTAGTCCCATGAATTGCTCTCTTGAACTATTTCTGTTCCCATGGTCTTGCAACAGTGATTTTTAAGAGGAAAGTGGGGAATGAGACAGTCAGGCAGCAACCAGTAAAATCTGCTGTGCAACTGCTTCAGGAACGATCAGTCCTGTGAAGAGCAGAACTGCCTGAGTATGGACTCTGGGGCATAATGTTATTTGGCTGGATTTTCTGGTGCTTAAAAATAGTGTTTTCCCTGCTGTAGCTTTTCCCTTCACGAGGTTTCTCTTCCCTCTACCCTAGTTGCCTATTTTCACAATAACAGTAGGAACACAATACTTCTTTTCACCCTCTGTCAGTTTTGATCAGCAAACAGGCAAGGTTATTAGTGGGTGACTGACAGAGTGAAAGGTAATTCTTGTTAGCTTGAAAAAGAGTAAGGATGAAAATTTAAAGTGATCATGGAAGCAGCTCACTGGAATCATTTAGAAGGGATAGATAAAAGGGGCCACTTGGAAGGGAGAAGCAGCACAAGCTGAGGGCTGCATACTTTTTACTGGTTACTCTACACCCAGATGTTGTGTCTGTAAGGAGGACTGTTTCATGCTTCAGCATATTTCTATAGAGGTTGTGACAGCTTCCACTTTTCTCTCATTTTTAGGTGATGCTCTAAGACCAGGTGCTGCAAACCTTTTGGAATGAAAAAACTCCACGGAGACCCCTTTCCCAGAGTAGAGATACCCCAGCTGTTCTCAGACAACACTGGCATCCACGTTCCCTTAAGTTTGTCACCCCTTTTGCTCAGAAATGAGGACTTTCCTCCTTTCCTCCCTTCCTTCTACACAGTCCTGGGTTTCACTAAGAGCTGGCTGCATTTCACTGTCAACTGAGCTGAACCACAGGGATGAATATTCCCTTCTGCTTCATCAAGAAAAAAATGCTTAAGACATCAGAAGCTAGCTGCAGAAGAAATCTGGCTTTTCTGTGTATTCTTCAGCTGTCATCTCTCTGGAGAAGACCATTTAATAAAGCTCCAGCAGGACCTTTGAAATGACAGGAAAGAAGGGTTTACCTGCTCAGCCCTTTCCCCTGGTTGAGCCTGTAGCTGTTGGTGAGCAGTTCCCCAAGATGCTGCAGCTTCATCCATTTCTCTGCAAAGAGAGAGAAGTGTTAAAATAAGAGCAGCTGATGGAAAAGCAGCCAAGAGCTAGATGTGCAGGGAAGAGGGGAGAGATGTGGCTCTCCCATCATTTCCATGTTAGGGGGTTGCATGGCTGGAAAATGGAGAGACAGATGGATTGCATATCCCCTTTTTCACTCCCCCAGTCCTATCAGAAAGGTGAAAGAAAGAGGCCTACAAAGCAACAAAGTAGTGATTTAGCCAGGACAGGATCTTGTGTATCAACTCTGCAAGGGCTCATACAAATACACACACCTTTGGCTGCTGGAACCTGTTTGAAAGCCAGAAGGAACATGAGCCAGAAGACCAGGTCACCCCCCAGAAAAATCCCAAATATGAAAAAGAGCCCAAAACCAACAACAAAAAGAAAGAAATACACACAGCCCTCCTCCAAAATAACAGCAGAATCAGCTCCATGACAGCCCCACCAGGGAAGAATTTACCCTCATGTAATTAATCCCCCTTTGCAAGAGTTGCCAGCAGGGATCTCAGATTAAAATCTCTCTCTCCTCCAATAGGAAGCACCTCCAGGAGCTCAACATCTTCCCTCCCTTCCCCACAGCATGAAGCACCAGTCCAAGTCCCAGTGTGAGACTTGAACCCGCAGTGACCTCCTGAGCCCTGCAGTGAAGGATGTATTAGCCAATGAGTCATGTTGACTCTGGCTTGAATCTAAATGGGCCTCTTCTCTCATACCAGAGAAACCACGTCCACATAGCCATGGATGATGCTTGTATCGGATAACTCTTATTGCAAGAGCTGGGTGGTGCTTGTTGCTGTCATCCTTGCCTGGATGGAAGGGGTGAGCAATGGGGTGGGGATGTCAAAACCCAGTTACTCCAGAAGTTTCATCCTCTCTGTAATTTAGAATGCAGAAGAAATTGTCATCCAATTTGAATAGCAGAGACTAAACCAGACCTCTGGTTATGAAACATGACTTCTGTTTCCCTGTGGGTGGCCTTTTCTTTGCAGGGAGAGAGCATAGAATCACAGAATGGTTAGGGTTGGAAAGGACCTGAAGATCATCTAATTGCAAACCCCATGCTATGGGCAGGGGTGCCTCAGACTAGTCCGTGTCACCCAAGGCTCTGGGTCCAAGATCAAGTGATTGCTGCTTGTGTTGAATTACAGCTTTTTGAGCGGTCACTTTTTATACCCTTGTGTGAGTACCCTGTACAGAGGCAACTTCCAGTTTTTTATACGCCACCATGAAGGTACATTTAGACCTTCCAAATCACCTCCCGCTGTGGGCTAGATAGCAGAGCTGGTGGCCCCTTTTGCTTACTTCTCTATGCTCCTTAGAGACACCAGCCACTTGGGATGTCTGCATCCCCTCTGCAGGTACTGGTTGAATGAAGCTGGAGCAAAGTGTGAGTGAACAACCAGCAACCCTTCACGGAAATCCTAGGAAGGGAGAGTAAGAGTTTATGACCAAATCAGATGGTGACATTCCTGGACCACAGCTGGTAGGCAGCAGCTTTCAGATGACAAGCAAGATGAAGTAAGCCTCCCAGCCATAGATGCTGTGTGAGGGTCTGTGTCTCACTGAGCAGAAGGAGGGAAGGTTATCTCCTGGCAGGATACCAACTTGACATTATGTAGAAGGGATTTACCCACTACTGAAAAGCAGCCTACTCTCAGCTGGATGTTGCAGCTGGTCAGGACATTTGAACACACTTCACTTGAGGTGCTCAGGTGGTTGAAAGTTTAATGCAAAATAACACTCCATGTCTGGGTAGGGCATTCGGTATCCAGCTGTAGTGTAAGTACAGGCTGATGAGCTCCAGTTACTCATGCTGATATTTCCCAGGACGCTGACTATTTCAAACAGAGGTCATCCTTTGCCTGATTCTCTCTATCTGCCTGATAACCAGCAGGATATTTGTGCAAGAATATTTTTCTTTTGCCTGCCTGCTTGTGTTCCTTTTGCAGCTGAACAAAGAGAGCATTGTTTTCAGGATATCAAACTGATTTTGCTTTGATGGGCTTAAATTACCAGCTATGTATCAAGGGAAATCTATATCAGCCAGACCAACACCTCCTTTCTTAGCTCCCGCTTCCAGCCACCTCCTGCCTCCCAAAAAACATGTCAACATCTACTCACAAACTCTCATGCAATTCTGAACCCACACTGATGCTCTGTTATCCATTGACATCCCTAATGGTCTGCAAGGAAATGCAAATTTGTATTGATAGGAAACCTGAGAAAGCAACAGAGAGATTTACTGGTCAGGAAAACACTAGTTTTTCCTTTCCTTATTCATATTGTGGTTCCTTGTGCTGTCATGTAATACAAATAACACTGATGGCATTAGCCTGTACTTAGAATAAATGCTTCCTGTGGTTCTTACATAGCTCCATTTCATCATATAGCACCTGAAAGAAAAAAAAAATAAAAAACACAAAAAGGACGGAAAAACTCGTTCATTGCCTCCTGTACTCTACCTATGCACATTTGTCCTGCAGACATGAGTGTGTGGGCTGAACAGCTGTAATTCTGGTTTCTGTGTACTGTGCCTTTAAATACGAGTAGGCAGCCTGCCTGTAGGGCTGGGAGGGTGTAAATCTGGAAAGGCATTTAAGAGAAAGGGTTACCTTTTGCAGTGTCATTCCTGCAGGAATGTGCCAGACAGAGCAAACTCAATGGGAAACAGTCCTCCAACCTGAAACCCAGGTTCAGCATTTATCCAGAGCAGGCAAAATCGGGTAAACCTCCCAGCCAGGGCTGTTCTCTGAGGTCTCTTCTCCAAAGGCTGGCTCTGCTGAACCAGCCAGTTGGATGACCCTGCCTAAGGCCAGCTGCTTCTGCAGCCAGGAGCCCTACAGTGGAACAGAGTGCTTAACACCATGAGCAGATCCTTCTCAGAATGACCACTGACAGCCCAGCAAGTGGGTCTCCAAAGCACATTACAGCCACATTCTTCATGTTGACCTGAAGAAAGTACCAGTCTGGCCAGGGCTGCTCTGCTGCTTCCTGCCACACACACACACACACCCCTTGTGTTTTGCAACTTCATTCCATAGGTGCCAGGGAGTCTCCCACAGATGTTCTGAGACAGCAGTCCCTGAGGAGGTTATATGTACACCACAAGGTGAAGAGCAATTTGAGGACAGAATTAAGAACTCTATAGCTTATAGCTTCATCAAACTGTTGGCTGCAGCTTAAGTTTAAAATGCCTGGGTTTAGACAGGCTAAACTTGGAATAACTCTTGATGGGATGGACTGTAGCCTAAGGCATCATCTACAATTCCCATTTGTGCAGACTCACGTGGACAAGAGCTCAGGCCCAGTTTAAGGCAACAAACAAGTTCCTTCCCTGGCAGTAAGCCTATGTCCATGCCTACGCTCATTGGCCTGGTCCCATGCAAACATACCACAGTGGTTCCATAGACACTGCTCTTTAGAAGTTACACTGAGTTCCTCTTACTTTGTATGATTTCCAAGCTCTCTATACCCATGCTATCATTTTAATTTTTCTTTTTCTTTCCAAATGGAGAAGACAGATTTGTCCAGAATCCAGCAGCAAGCCAACACCAGAACTAGGAGAGCAACCCAGCTGTTCTGACTCCATTGCCACAGGCTTTGTCTGCTAGACAGAAGTGCTGGTCATGTTTGAATAATGACATTATCTCTGTTCGACTAGTCAAATCCCAAAAGTGAGTCATTTTGTTCCACCATCTCCTCCATGATTTTCAATGGATTTCTGCATATGTCTCCAGGTGACATGAGCAGTTACCTGTAACATCAGATATTTTGGGTTCCATTTGTTGGGGTTTGGGGATTTTTTTTTTGCAGTGACTGCTAATGACCATGCTCTATATAAACCAGGAATGACATCAAGAAACTGCCTTGTTATGTTCATTATGAGATTTGGACATATATTTGGAATTGGTCTTCGCACAGAAGTCAATGAGGGACAGAAGACACTAGATGGTCTTGGTTACTCAGTGCTTTGGTAATATGGTTTAGGCCTATCTGCAGGAGAAAACACAGCCATGCTAGATTATCTAGTTGACTCAGTTAAAGAATTAGCCACAGTGTAAATCTCTCTGTTCCTTTCAGCTCACACGGAGGGAATCAGAGTTGTGTCATTGTCAACAGAGGACTCCAAGTACAGTTTGCTGGAGTGGATGTCCAAGTGGAAACCAGTGGTGAGTGGAGTTCCTCAGGGGTCAGGATTGGGACCGATTCTGTTCAATATCTTTGTTGGTGACATGGACAGTGAGATTGAGTGTTCCCTCAGCAAGTTTGCTGACAACACCAAGCTGTGTGGTGCGGTCAACATGCTGAAGGAAAGGGATGCCATCCAGAGAGATCTTGGCAGGCTCAAGAGGCAAAACTTCCTGAAGCTCAACAAGGGCAAGTGCAAGATCCTACATCTGGGTAGGGGCAATCCTAAGCACAACTACAGGCTGGGCAGAGAATGCATGGAAAACAACCCTGAGGAGAAGGATTTGGGGGTGTTGGTTGACAAGAAGCTCAACATGAACCAGCAGTGTGTGCTCGCAGCTCAGAAAGCCAATCATATGCTGGGCTGCATCAAAAGGATCATGACCAGCAGACTGAGGAAGGTGATTTTCCATTTCTACTCTGCTCTTGTGAGACCCCACATGCATTCAGCTCTGGGGTGCGCAGCACAAGAGGGATATGGACCTGCTTGGGCGAGTCCAGAGGAGAACCACAAAGATGATCAGAGGGCTGGAGCATCTCTAGTATAAAGAGCTGGGCTTTTTCAGCCTGGAGAAGAGAAGGCTTAGGGGAGACCTTCTAACAGTCTTCCAACATCTACAGGGTGTCTGCTCTGGAAGGGAATGCTACTTATAAAGAATTGTGCCAGTGTTTTTTCAAATGCCTAAGAAGACATTTGCCAAAGTACGGTGAGTGATAGTTTAGGAAGAGAGAAAAGAGGGAAATGACACATTAGTTTTGCTCTTTTTCACAGACAAGGACCTTGTGGATGAAATAATTTTCCCCCAGGATAATCCTGGAAAGAGGAAAAGCACCTAGATATTCTTTTTTATAGTTCCCTGTCAAACTCACAGAGACAATCCAAGAACATGGTAATGTCATACTTGTCATGACTTGAATGGCAGCCCCTTCTTGCATATCATGAGCTCAGTTCTTCATGTGGGGTCACACCTCCAGTTGACCTTTATGAGTGGGATTGTGAAGAGAGGAGGTAATGGATTTTGGAGTGCTTTACTTCAGAAATTGCCAGGCTAAATCCAGTTCATACCTAGAGGTGCTGAAAGTGGTTAGCATCTGAGGGCTGCTCAGCCAATCACTGTTCCCTGGTCCCCTTCCTTTGAGATGACT